ACGTAAATTTTCTATGGAGCGGCCTTTTTGATTTTTCAATTATTCACGTGATAAACGTCGCGAGAGTTATTCGCGTTGTACACCCTGACAAGGTCCAAGCGCCCACACTCGAAATTCTAATGCTCATTCCTGAGCATCGTTGGATTATGTTCCATTGGATGACGCAGTTGGAGAATGCAAATCGTCCGTGCAATCGCGCACCGATGCGTCTTTTGCCTTGCACAATTAGAAGACTCGTCGTAACGTAAACGAAAATGGTTGTTCCGCGTAGGCGATCGCGGTTTTCCGAGATTTTTGCCGCGCTGCAAACTTGGCGATGACTCTGCCGCAAACTCCAATTTCAATGTTCGCGATTGTCGTGTGACGTAATTCTTAGCGGGAAAAACATGCGTGCATGAGGAAATCATGTCAATCTAACGTATCGCAGACGCGATTTAACGTTTCTGTAACGTAGTGTTTACTGGATTTAACGAGACAATCGTGCAGGATTTTGTTGAAAAAAATCTTCCAGTTTGCTTTGATTATTTTATTCTTGCGATCTGTTTTCTATTGCAAACGTAGAAAGTCCCTGTTGGAAAAATGTGGCCATTTTTTAAAGAAAAACGGAGTATGTGACAGATAAAAGTGTCAAAAAGTTTTTGTTTTTCATTATTAGATCAATTTTATTTATTGTTAATCGCGCGATGTTATTTTTCGTGACTTCACGTTGATAAATCGTGGTATTGTTGTATATTTCCGGGGCAGAGATTTCGAGGAGTATCAAGGACCATTCACGGTTCTTTAATTTCATTTTGAATCTTTATGTCAGAAAATATATTTTTTAAATTTTATTTCCAATTTCTATATTAGAAAATATATTTCTTAATTTTAGTAGTTATTCGTTCGGGAATCGAAGTCGAAACTTGGCCATTTTTTTGAGAAAAATAGAGTAGAGTGCGTGGATAAATGACAATTGTCGTATGTTTCGCTGGAAACTGGACACCTGCCAGCGTGTCACTTTTCCGAAAGGGTACACCTTTTCCCACTTGAATTAAAAGCGTGATACACCTTCAGCCGTCAAGGTAAACTGGAATCGACCGTGTGGGTGTAGAAGAGACGCCTAGTAACTTAATAATGGCACGTGCTCGTTATTATTCATGATTGATGTGCAACTACGTTGACGATCGTTTAATTTAAGGAAAGCTTGGTTTACGAATGTTTACTCTTCGAATTTTTAGAAACATTTAGAAACAATATCGAAGATCGTAGAATAACAGTTCATATCATGAAGTTTCTACGTTATTTTAATAGTCTTTGTAATTATTTTTACGTAAATTGAATATTCTCATAAGTATTTATTTCATATCTAATATCTGAAGTGGAAAGTTAATACGTAGTAGAAGATGTTTGATTTTGTGTGATGCATAATTCATAGGATATTCGATTTAAAATTCTTCAATAATTATTTGTCGATTCTCATAAATTGGAATTTTTATACGTAGAAAGTGAAAGACTGATATTACAGTATACTTAATTTAAACAACGTGGAGGCCATTGGATAGAAATTGGTACCAAAAATTTCCATGTTATTTTTAATAGACTTTACAATTGTTTTTTATGCAATTTTTTGCAATTTATTTTGTATTTAATATTTGAAACCTTTACACGCAGAAAGTAGAAGATTGATGTATCTACATATATTTATGATTCATAGTTCGTTTATATTGATCCAACCAGTGTCTTGTATTATTTGCTCTGAATATGCGACGTACATATCGTATATATCGAGTGCATAGAGAAATAGAATTGTAGCTCCATCTCGTTGCACATATGAAAGCCTGTTTCTGCAAATGCCAGCACTCTATTAATGCTTTTCGTTGGTGATGCAGGAATTAATTAAGAGTATCAACGCACGAGATCGTGAATGAATTTACCGACGCGTAGTAATTTTATTTATCGAAACGAGTTTCTCTTTCTATTTTATATTGCAATTTATATTTTCTCTCGTTAATTTTATTTTTATCAATTTTACAAATTATTCTGTGATTTATCAGAGTCGAGTCAGGTTTTTTTTTTTTATAGATTTCTATTTTCATAAATACTACAAATTCAAATATGTATAATAATTATTATACGATATCTTCTGAAGCATTGACTGAATTTTCAATCGTTAGATCTCCTTTTCATTGTATTTCATAGATCGTTTAAACATGTGAATGTATTTGTGATCTCTGTAGAATACAGATAAACGTAATTATATTATCTTCTAATTTTATTAAAATAATCTTTACATGTATAGCTGATTATTTGATTGATATGCGTTGAAAGAATATTTTGTACTCCCAACACTAAAATATTTAGACACTTTTATTCCTTTATTCTATAATTATTATAGAATATAATATTAATTAATCCAAATATTCTTTCAGTATTTTGTAAGCATTTTCTTGACTTCAACAATCACTTACAGCCACCTTAGGATTAATTTTATAATACTTGAAAGTTTTTCACTATTTTTCACGAAGTGTGATTGTTAAATCATTTTTGTTTGAAATTCCTAAGAATCCAAAATATGCCACGAATTCTCTATTAACTTCATATTCAGCGATTCAGGTGTTGTTTAAGCACAGTTATGTAAGAGCCATTTTTATATGTACATTGTCCATAGAAGGATTGAGTATTTATTTCCTTTATAAGCACGTAATTGTTACACATTGTGCTAGATTCCAAGCATTTTCTTGAAACATTAAAGTATCGCGTTGTATTTGCCACGGTCGACTGTGACTCACAGTTGTTTCCAGTAATGGCCAATAAATATCTCTTTTTTCTCTTCGTTTGTCTGGCAAAAGCAAAGCCTTCCCCTTAGCTCGAATACCAACTACGAAACAAAAAGAAAGAAAACACACGAATGAGTTCATCGACGTATCTACCAAGAATACCGGTCGATTTTTGTTAACACTCGTAAATTCGGGTATTAAGTCGAACATTTAGAGAATCGAATGGAGTTCTGATAAAATTGCAAAAAACTCTCGACCGAACCGTGAAACGTTTAGTTTTCCCGATCAGATATATTTCAAGCGAATTGTAAGAACTTGTTAAATCTCCACGTTTTGTTGTATCATTATATCGTTATTTGCCTGTATCAAAGTGATTAGAAATAATAATGGAATTAATAAATAATTAAACAGAGATGGTATCACAATTCGCGTCATTCACGAACTTCGCAGAAACGAATAATAAAACTAGCAAGATACTATTCATAAAATAGATCACGCTTATTTCACTTTCATTGAAAAGCTGAAAATAAATGTACAACACATCAGTGATAGAATCTTGAATGAGCAATAACAAGATAACGTCAAAAAACAATAGTGTTTTCTGCGTATCACCGTCTTACGCAATAAGTACTTCAGAGGGCTGTCAAATCAGATTCATTTAATTCAGTCGACTGAGTTTCAGTTTCAGTTAATGAAACTACTAAGAAGAAATATCAAGTTATACATGAGAAATCTTTAAGAGGAAATAATATTGAATTCATTACATGTAAGAAAGATCTACTTTTAATTGTCTAAAGCGTTTCCCCAAACTCCGAAGCTACTTGCATTCAAATGGACACATCTACATTATACGTCCAATGATCTCTCAATAAAGAGTACAAAAAAACAAAACACATCAGTGTCTGGCAATCGGCTGGAACGAATTGAATACCAGGCCAGTCAGTGTCAACGACAGTGTAAAGCTTCGAACGCGGGAGAGAAGAAAGTAAAGCTCGCGATGATGGCAAAGTTATGTCGGCGCTCGACCCGATTACAACGGCCATCAGGGTCGCGCACCGGTGTTCTCTCGCAGTTTCGCGCGACAAACCCATAAGGTTTGACCTAATATGGAGACTTGTGTGGAGTTTACGAATGCCACCGGTCTGGTGGGGATCCGTATGGAGAGCTCCTGTGTGAGGCCTTCGAGTCTCTCTCCTCACGGAGTCCCCCAGTACCTCACCGGACGTGTGTTACGCCGCACACGCGTTTCCATGTAGCCACGATTGCGTTTCCGTTCGTAAATTGCCCGTGGAACGTTCAACAACGGGAAGCAATACCGTTCTTCCTCACCGGTGGTCAGTGAGTTCTCCGTGCCATTTCGCGCTGAAAGAGAAGAGATTACCCGAATTCGGATCTACGTCTAAAAGTCTCGATCGAGAAAAGGAGATGTGTAACCTGAAGTCTGAAAACAACTTGACTTTCGTATCGAAGTAGACGATTACGAAACGATCTCGATCGTACATTCGATTCGTCGGACAAATCTCCATCGAACGAAGAAAACTCAGGAAAAGTGAGCAATTTGAATTCAAATTTACCGCTCGAACAGTCGAGCAGAGTTGGACTCTAGCTCGCGGGAAATAAGAAGCATTGACGTCAAAGGAAATAATCCTGCGTAAGAGGATTACGAATTTCTCGAAGAGGAATTTCCAAGAAAAGACACGAGACAAAAGAAAGCACGTAGTTTCGAAACGTTGTTACACTGTTTATCTACAATTTCTTCTATCGTATGATACGACGTACGCGAATAACAATAAGTCGTCGTATTTCAATGCGAGCCGGCAACAAGTGATAGGAAGGTCGTACTCGATAGAAAGCAGCAGCTATGCCGTGTTCTATCGACGAACTTCAGTATACGTACCGCGTTCAAAGCAACTAGTCGTTGCGTCGTCATCTCTCCGGAAACGATCTCCGTGAAACAAGCGCGATCTCAGTACTATCTCGCCGATTGTACTCGGTCGTCGTCGACATGTCTACCGCGGCGCACCAGCAAGCCGCGATACGTCGTTTGGAGGCCCTGTTCAGGGACGTGAAGCTGGAACAGCAGCAGAACAACCCGGAGATAGTTAAAGTGGAGATCGACTCGAGCTGCTGCGACATTCACGGCAAACACGCGAAGGAGAATCACTTGAATCGCAGAGGCTCGATCGGGACCGCGTATCAGTACAGGAGAGACTCACTCGGTTATCCAGGAACCTCGCCGAGCAGAAGAGGCTCCCTCGGTCTACCGATGTCGCCGCCGAAGAAGGAGCTTCATCCCTCGAGCTTTCCAAACACGTTGAGGAAAAACCCTCTGGGCTCGTCGATGAGCGCCATCAATCACGCGAAGAGGGATCCTCACGCGTCCAATTCAGCGTTGAGACGCGATCCGATCGGTCGATCGATGGGCTGCTTGAAGAGAGACGCCGTGTCGAGCTACAACTCTCCGCCGAGGCGAGATTACGTAGCAAAATCGATGACGAACCTTCAGAGGCCGATCTCGCGACAACGAGATGGTAACAGTCTGTCCAGCCTTTTCGCCGCTTCGCCGATATCGGAGAATTCCTTGAAGTCCAACGTGAATTCATCGAGCAACGACTTGAAGAACGGCTCGAAGACGAGGAGCACGTCGAACCTGAAGAGCTGCTTGGCCGGGTCCAGTGGAAATTTAAGAAGCAACTTGAACGTGACGCTTAGTACCGATCTCTCGATGGGTTCCAACGGGAATCTGAAGAAAGACAGCAAACTGGTGGCGCCGCTTTCTAGTCGAAGGGGCTCTTACGACAGGAGGAGACTCTCCACTGATTCTTTGGATAATACGAAGAGAAACTCGTGGGATCCGGGTCGCAGGGGTTCTTCCGGATCGTCCGGAGGCTGGGACGACCCTATTTGGGAGGAGGGTAGCTTCGATGGCGTCGATCAGGTAAAAATTATTAAAATTTCTTGAACTCTCTGAGATTTTTGAAGTCTCAGAACTTTTTTGTAGTAAAAAAAGTCGCAAGTTGTACAGAAATTTGATTTCGATACAAAGATAGAACAAACTTGCACTTATATATTTCGTTACACAAGGTGATCAAAGCTAAGAAATAGATCAGTAACATGTATTTTATAAGTCTCTGATTAAAAAAATTGAATGTGAATGTATTTGAATTTTTTTCTCGTACTCTAGTTAAGAAGCTTTATATGTATATTTTTTTTCCATCCAACGTTATTTTGCAATACTTTTGGTATTTTTGAATATATAAAAATATTGAAAAACCGATTTATATTAGAAACAAATTTACTCGATAATATTGAATTATCATGTAACAAGAGTGTGATAACGAGTGTGTTAACACGAGGGAAATCTGGCTTCGAAATAACTAATTAGAAGGACAAAAGGTAGAAAGTTTATTTGGATATTATTTTCCCAAACCATTGTGTGCCTGTCAAAAATTCCGTCAGATATTTTAACAACGGTTCAGAAAGCTGAATGACGTCGATTCATTGTATCTGATGCTTTCCCGCAAGGGACAAGAGAAACCATCTCTCGAAGCGCGGTGAAACGTACCGGAGCTTGATTGTCGTTGCACGCGCGGACAGAATTTATCGTTCCTTGTTAGAAGGTGCATTCAGTTAACCGTGGGAATGCTATTCTCGAATCTAGGCATTCGCGATCCGATCCGAGATTTATCGCGACGAAAATTTCAGCCGAATGATATTAAATTTGTGAATGGGATTGCGTTGTATTTCTTTATTTATAAGAGTGCAACTGATAGTAAACAAAATAATAAGTTAGAAGAACTTAAGTTAATTACGAGAAACATACAGTAAGAAATTAATACTAAACAGTAATTTGGTAGTTCAAGTTATTTACTCATGGCAAAGCTGAGATGAAAAATTCAAAGTTCAAAACGTCTTACAGTTCTTCCTTCAAAAATTGTTAATTAGCTTTTAAATGCTTTGTAAATAAACTGCGAATTTTCACGAATTTATCAAAATTACACGAAAATCACGAATTAGTACGAAAATTAAAATGATAAAATATTATTTCCATTTGAATTTAAAGTAACGAGAGATTTTTATATATTTCACCTAACGCAGTTGTACGTAACGTTCCTCGTCGATTTCCGATTCAGTTCCGGGAAATCTGCCAAAGGGACGTCGATCGAAACGATACTTTATGAAACTTTCATCTGTCGTTAGAAAACGTCGGTTGAATATTCGCGAAAGCGTTGATTTACGGGCCGATCGTATGCAATGTCTTTAGTGTTTCTCGGCGTTAAGGTGTTTTCTATGTGGCGCCGGTCACATGCAAAGTGTTTGCCACGTACTTACGTCATCGGCATGCCTTGCACGGTACGGACACGTTGTTAGTCATCGACTGATTATGAAAGCGCGCACGCGTCTTGATTTTCTGCTAAAATCCGTGACACATATATAGGTTGATCAACACTGGAACTACCAAAGTGGTCGATTTTTAACACTAAACGTACCAAGCGGGGTCAAATGATCCCTTTTCAGAATTTACTTTAAATAAAAATATATGTTTGAGTATTTTATTAGAAATCAGAAGTTATGTTGCAAATTGTTTCCTTTAATAAATTAAGAATTTCTTTCTAAAAGTCAACGTTTATTCATAATGACCCCTTATGGTAAGATAGGTACATGTAAAATGCCGGTACGTTAGTGTTAATTTTGTTGGAAATACGGCGGCGTATTTTTAGAGAATGATTTTTCGTAAAATACGGGGGGCGATGATTAAATTATTCTATTCTTGATGGAGGAAAAAAAATTTTTTTTTTTTTTTTTAATATTATAGTAACGTTCAATGAGATCCGCGTCTGTCAGTTGCTTATTTATTACATTTCGAAGATCATTCCTCACTCAGATCAAATGGAAAAATATATCTTTATAACGGCTTGCTAAATTCAGCTGGAATTGCAATACTTATTAATCAACTGTTTAAGTATAAAATCGAAAGCGTCAACAAACAGAACAATTTAAGGTGATCGCCTTTAATGTGTTCCTGTATTGCAAACTTTTACTCGTTCCTTTCACTTTGATTTCTGCAATGCAGATTTTCTATTCCAGATCGTCTATTTCAGTTTCAGCGTTGAAAGTAGGCGAAAAAAAAAAAAAGAAATGAACGATGACAAGATTTAGATTTAGATGATGACGGTCGTTTAAATTTCATAGATCCCGAGTGTCGCGCGCTCGGATTGTTAACTTTCGAAGTAATAAATTTTCCTGCCTGTACTTCCAATAAGAGAGACGTCACTGTTATTTACGACGTACCGCGCCTATTAGCAAATATTTGTATTCCTATTTCGTACAAGCGTTTCTCAGTTGCATTTCACCTGTTGAATACCAGCTAGATTCGCAGACTATGTAATTCCTATTCCTTCTTCGCTGTTCGTAAACGGCGCGGGCTTTTGTTCGCCCGATAATTCTGGAAATCGAGCGCAAACGCCTGAGAATATGTGAGCTCGCTTGTTTAAAAAGCGAGTTCAGATCGCTTGTTATTCACCGCGCCTTTATCTGATACACTGGCATTCTTTGCATACGTAATACATAATACATTACAC